GTTACTTCTGGCCTGTGCAATTACTTACTTCGCTTACCTACATCAGGTACTATGGGAAAGATTACATACAATCTCATAAGCCTCAGTGAAGGAATGTCTCACATTTCTTGAATGATATTTTCTAAAGGAAAACAGAGATTATAAAGTATCTAGATTGTCACTTTAAATACTATCAAATTATAATTTGGGGTAATTAATTATGCTCTTTTTTTCTTTTTATTGTTATAAAACTTTCGTAAATGTTTCACAACAGGTTCTGCACACCATTAGACATGAGCTTTTTTTCTTTTTATTGTTATAAAACTTTTGTAAATGCTTCACCACAGGTTCTGCACACCATTAGACATGAATAAAATTATAAGATAGATCACAAATCCAACAAGGAAAGTATACATTTTTGCCTCACCTTAACTCAATGTAACTGTAAATTAAACTAGGTAAAATTTTTGTCTCATTTGAATGGGACAAGTCAAGCACAAGGCTAGTACTTCGCAACATGATAATGCAATGAAATGTTCCAACATGGTAAGAGAGGGCATGAACCTTAAAATGGTTCCTCCGCAGCTCTGCATGCACTCAGTAATAAAGAACTTAGGCTTTATTTATAAAACTCATGCTTTCCCTCTAGGTAAGTAGCTTTCTGACATTCCTATGAGCATTTAAGTGAAATCTGTCTCACAAGCCAGGATCATGAATTTTTCATGAGGTAGGTGGTAAGTATTATCACAGAAGTGAAATAACAGGAGTACTGTAATAATCCCATATCATTAACATATTTCAGTATGCAAACATCTCACCACACACATTCATTTAAATATTTTCTTTGCCATGGTTACTAGCTTCCTAACTTTTCAAAGGGTTACATAGTGCTTTGAACTTTTGACATGCATTTGAGGGAACTATGTATGTCCTGACACTGGAAAACACAAGCTTTAAGACTTGTTTTCAGGAATGTTTTTAGTATATTCCTGGCAATCTTCCCACTACACCTCCACCTTTCAATAATATACCTCGGATCAAATACAAATTTGCTGACTGTCTGTTGGCAAAGGCATAGAAACCCATGCGTGTCTGCAGACACAGTACAAAAAGAGTTCTGCTGAAAAATTAAGGGCAGGTGCTTCAGTTTCTAACACAGGGTGTGAATCTGCCCTCAGGGTTGAAAAGAGATGTTGGGCATCTGGAGCTGTATGTTCTAAAAAAGTAAAATTAAAAAAAAAAAAGCAAGACCTGAAGAACAGTCATTTAAAAAACAAAGATCTTGTATGTTGGATTCTAACTTCCATTTTATTTGATAGCCCTTTTATAACTAGTCTAACTTTCCTGACTTCCCCTCCTAGAAATTCTGTACTACTCCCAATTTTACACTGATGTAAGTATGACCAATTGCCCATGACTAATTCAATAATTTTTCAGCCCTTAAAGGCCCATTCCATTGGATACCCTATTTTTTTTTCTGCTGTTACAGAAATTGCAATTCACTTCTGCCACTCAAATTATACCTGCAGGAAAGTCAATCTATTTCTTATGAATTAATAAAGATTAATACTTACCACTTTTTCTAGAGTGCTGCTTTCTAACTTTTCATGAGGCTTCGGAACTTGCAATTTTTAGAGAAACAGTTTTCATACAAATATCCGGTCATCCTTGTTAACAAAGCAATTGTCCAGAAAGGCATCCTTTACATGCTATGAAGGAAGGCGGGCTAATCGATGGTAAGCCTAAGCGCATGTTTGTTTACTTGCACTACTGCAAAACTGACATGGACACTCATGACTGCTGAATACAATGTCTGAAATTCTTTTTGACAATAAGATGTACTTTATGAAAAGATAACTACGTGTATGAAGTAGAACCTACTTTTCTTTTTATGTGAATGTTAAGATGACAAATAATATAAAATGCAACTGAAATTAGAGTGTATTCTAATATTTAAGCCATGATAAAAAAGACAGAAATTTAAATAAGAAAACGGTCTTAACTGCGAACATACAATTTCAGTTTCACCAAATCATGAAGTTCTGTATATAAGAGAAGGTACTGGCAGGTTGCTCAATACTTTTAATCACTGCTGTACATGCTGAACTGGTTTCTGATCAAGGAATTTGCAGAATAACTCTGCTAGATTTTTCAAGTTACAGTTTAACAAAGTTTCTATCAGCTCAGTTTAAATTTTTGTCATTTTAACAGTGAGACACACTGCTTCATTCACTGGCCTAAACTACATCTAGGAGCATAGCATAGGCATTACTGGGTTTTATGCTTAACGCTAGCATGCCGCAACAGATTGAGGAGTGCATTCCAAGGCATCCAAAACTAGACTATGGTTTGCTGCAGGGATTTCAGAGAGGCAGGGCAGCATGTACGAGTTAGGTGTAATTGAACAATCTAGAAGATAGTATTAGCAAAACCAACAATCCCTGGATTCTGTTGCATTACTTGCACATTCATGAAACTGGCTGAATCAAAGGATCAACGGAATTTTACACTCAGAGTATTTATCCCGAGTATTTATTGAAACAGGTTTGCATGACTTCTTGCAGTGTTTAGCTTTCCTGAATCTGATGAAGATTTCACGATGCTTTGGGATGAAGATGGTTGTCTCTATGTCTCCCGCTACCACAAAGAATAGAAGTCAGGATATTCCAAGTTAAATGCCCAAACAAGCCCCCTTGTGTTTATACAGAAACTATTGTTGTGCTCAAATTAAAAGTCCACACTTCTAAGTAGGATTGAAGTACAGTGCCACCACATATTCAGAATGGGAATCAATCTCACATTTGCAGGCTTCGCTTATGGTCACCAGTAGTTAAAACCCAGAATTGAGGCCACCTGCGGAGCAAAGCATGATCACGTTCACAACACATGAATGTTGCCTACTCAAACTCACTGCCCATGGACTTGTGTAGGGGGGCATATGCTCAGGTCCTGCTCTATTATACATCTTAATGAAAACAACTTCAGACAACTACAAAAGATAATTAACACATGAAAGCAGCTCGTTTGAAGCATGTGACCTGACACTAAAATTTCTCTAGATTAGTTATTTCTGAGAGGAAATACCTAAGAGATGCGAAATGGACTCTTGCTCAGGCTGGGCAAAATTTGAGTATTTCAAAGAAAACATATTTCAGTTGTCAGATGTAGAAATGGCAAGGTAGAAAATCTCAAAGGGACACAAATACCATTCTTCTCTATGTTCAAATAAAATAAGATTAGCTGAAAAATATTTTCATTTTATTCATATCTAGGCTGAGACAAACTACAGAATTTTAAGCCAAAATGAGAATTTTTGCAAAAACCAAAGATACAGATATGGCAATCCAGAAGACAGCCATTTCATCGTGAACTGTTACGTTACACATTAAAAAAGCTCTACCATAATTCAAGACTATTTTTAAATTATTATAACTCCAAAGTCAAGTAAGACCTTATAAACATGATACTTTATTATTTGTTTGTGAGGTGTACTGTATAGAACAAAAAAGATATGGAACATAACTTAATTCTTTTACATGCGTAACCTTATATTTGCTTTTGCTAGGTCTTCCAGTTGTTATAGTAAATATTCTTATAGCTCCCAGTTACTCCCAGTTATTATTATAAGACTGAAAAATCAGCACAGAAATTTTGTGTGCAACAAGACCAGTTGCAAGAAACAAGTATCTTTATCAGTTTGGTGGAAGAACAGCCATGACCCTAATGCCACCAGAGAGGAATTATTAATTTACTTTTTTTTTTTCATTTTACTTCATTTATTTACATATGCATCATTATTGCATAATTGCACATTGCATAATGCAAATTGCATAAATGCTACTGTTATTGCTTCACCACCCAGCTTTATTGCATACAATGAATCAAAGCATTAAGAAACACCACAGAGCATAGAAAATATGATGTACTAAAATAATAGATTCAGCAATGCACAATACGTATTCTGAGAAGTTATAAATGCTCTATCAAATATTTATTCCCCACTGCAGTTTACTGCAACATAGAAGTATAATAAAATTATCTGCAAGAGGTATACGTTAAAATCTGCTGACAATTTTTTGGAGCAATGTTCACAGTAAGTGTGAAAAAATAAACATCTTCAAGGCAATAAAAAGTATTACAGTAAAACTTTCTTTCAGTGTGAAAAATACTGACAACTGTTTTTTTCTTACCCAGACATCAAAGCAAAAAATTATGAAGCTTTGGCTATTTATAACAAGTGGTATTCTTTAAAGTTTCATTAGCCCTTGGACAACTGAATATATCTATTATAGGAACAATGACTGCATCATTGATAATAATTTTTTACAGCACCACATTTTAGCTTGTTGCTACTAATGTTTAGTTCTTTATGAACCAAAAAGATCACCAAATTCTATCTCCATCACTACAAAGCATGTAATGAAAAACTGAATGGGCTTCTACATTAAAACTGGCAAATATCAGTGATTCTCCACTGTACCTCATTACTCTAGGTGTAACCGAAAAGACTAACTCCTACCCCATATGCACAAGATTATGAAAAGAGCTTTCAAATGAGGAAACTAATAGCTTCAGATTTCCTTGCTAAAGCATAGCCCCAAAAATTTCACAGGCATGAGGAAAACACTGGCTAAAGTCTATTTAAATTATGTTCAAAACCACAAATATGAAAAATATTCTCAGCTTGCTTTTCCCAGATAAATTGTGAATAAACACACTTTCCTCACTTGAGGAAGTATGTTAGCAGTGGATAGGCTTTCTGTTAGTTTCCTCACTTATTTCATTATTTATACTACAAATATTTTTTTCTCTCTGTCTCCACACTGCCTACACTGGTTCTTTGAAAAAATAATTTAAATATCTTAGTTTACCTTTTATTCCTTTCACTATTGCTTCACTGCTCTGCTAAGTAACTTTGCAGTTCAATACTCAATATTCATGAAAGGGAACTAAACAAGCAAAACAAAAAAAAGGTCACTAACTGGTTTTGCACCAGAAGAACTTTTCAGTACATCACTTACCACCCATGGTTTGTCACAGAAGTTATAGATTGATTCCAGAGAGTTGACGCTAGGGATGCCTGCGTACTGCATTCCAATGATCAAGTTACGGAAATCTTCATTTTCTGCCATACTGAACGAATGTTGTCGAACAAGGACAAAATCAGGCCTGAATGACCTAGCAAGAAAAAGATACACTGCTAATAGTCAATGATCAAATAATTTTTCCTTCAACAGCAAAATCTTAAAAGGGAAAAATGCCTAGCTGATGGATAGAGAAGTACTAAAAGAATACTCAAAACAAAGGTAAATGCTGAAAGACTGAAAGAGTTATTATGGCTTTACGAAAATATCATTTCTTACGAAACGTTCAGAAAACATCATCATCCAGTCAATAATGCGACTCCATTAAGAGGAGAGACAAATTATCATGGCTTTTCTGGTTGTTTTCCCACTGAAAGATAAATCATATATATAAACTCTATGTTCTTAGTTTATGTACACCAGTTCCTGAGCAATGACAATCAAAAACAAAGTAGGCAAACATCTCTGCAAGAAACTTAAGCTTCTTGGGAACAATTCTTTTTTCACAACTATCGTCAGACTGTTTTGAAGATAGTAAGAGATGAAGCAACCCCATTGCTCGCAAAAGGAATCGTACCATAATTGGAGATAATCACAATTCAACTCTTGATCAAGACACTTGTTAAAATGAATTTCTAAACTTCGAACTGCACTTTTTTTTTTCCTCTTTCTCTCTTCTATCTAATCAGGATTTCTCCTGCTGCAACCTCTGTGGCTTCTTGTCCTGTCATCATGCACCTTTGAGAACAGTCTGACACCATCTTCACTTTACTCAAACCCTGACATTCAGTAACTGAAGGTGGTTATAGAAAACAGAAGACATAATGCAACGGGACAGAGCGACCAGTACAGGGGCAATTTGCTCCTAAATTTGACTGCTGAAAGACTCTTTTCTGTATTAAAATTTTATAGGTGGAAAAAAACACTGACTACCTTGAAGCTATTAACCTTCTGAAAGAGGTATAACTGCAGGGTAAATAAAATTATTGTAGTAAATTAGTGTAATTATACACATGCCTTGAATAAATATAAGCTGTATACTGGAGTGAAAAATTCTGGAGATGACAAAATGATTCAGAAATCTCACTCTAGTAAAACAAAACAAAACCAAAACAATTAAAATTCATGTTAAAATTGCTTTAGCGGTTTTGAGATTCCAACCTGAATGCAGTAGTCAAAGTATATTAGCTGGATTCTTAAGTTGGCTTTCAGGTATAATGCATAATTTGGCAAAAGCAACATTATAAAGATTTGCCGTCAAGAGTCATTAAAATGGCACTGTAGACCAACAACCAAAATTTGTAAAGAAACACTTGTCTTTAAACAAGTTTCCAAAAAAATTTGAGAATTTGTGATCTAGGTTTCATGGTGGTGTGCCAAGTGTTTGAAACAAGGAAATTCAATTTACTAGCACAGCGTGAGTATAATACTTAGAGGACTAATGATGCCTTAATCAAAATTGCAGACCACTCAGTGAAAGAAACAGACCATCTGTTTTGTTTAAAATAGTGCTAAGGGGATTACACATAATCTCAAAGACAGCACTGTGTTTTTAAATAAAAGTAAAGAACAGAAAGTGTCCTTTAAAATACCAATTTAATGAAGCAATTGGGAAATTGAGGGAATGTACTTTTTTAAAAAGTAAAAAAATGTATTTTGCTTTGCAAAAACGTCTCAAAGGAACATGATACATTTACGTAATTGTTCTAGTTCTGTAACTACTGCTGGATGGAATGACTGTGCATACAGAAGAAGGTCATGAGAAAAATTTTAATCCTGGCTCAAGTACTTGTAAGATCCAAAGTCTCAGCGTTATGTAACATAAGATATCATTTTTCACGGTTTCATTTTCATTCAGAAAAGTGAAACAACCAGGTGTCTGTTATACTTTTTTTTTTCTCCTAAACTAAGACAGCAAAGTTTTGTCATTGAAATGTTAGTATTTTCCTAACTAATGTTTTGATCAAATATATGATGCAAGGTCACTTTGGACCTCACATTAATAACACATAAGAATTTTCATCTCAGTACTCAGGTGTTTATGCCTTTTTAGTAATACGTTTATAGTCCATACTCAGTAAGAACTTTGATACCAGTGGGACCAGCAGTTTCTCCCATCTCTCTTGATAGTTGAGACAGATAGAAACAAAGGAACATGCCACACATCCTATTGTCCGACCCATATTTAACCCTGGATTTCAAATGAGATTTCTTATCAACCAAACATGAACAGTAGTATCTATCAGTATCTCTGCATTCCTTAGCGACACAAGAACCACATTCCAAGTTTCAGGCAATAAACTACACAAATCAACCAGGCTTAAAGCAATGTTAAGACGCACTTATCTGAAGATATAGGATATTTATGAAAAATACTTTCATTTTTCAAAAATATTCTCTATCTCCAGATAAGTTATGACAGAAACAGACAACTGCTCTCCCATCACTTCTGCATATCCTTCTCACACCAGAAGGCATGCACACATATGCAGATATCTCATGCAGATTCAAGTGACATTTATCAACTTCAGGTAGTTCTATTTGGTTAAAGAAATCCCCCTTAAAACCAATAGTAATATAAAATCCTTTGTCATCTCATTGTCAGAGTTATCTGATGACACAAGATTTCTGTTTCTTAACATAAGCAGCAGTTTTACCAAGTTTTCTCATAAACTGCAAATATGCAACTTTGTAGATGCTATTTTCCAGAGGTTCCCAACTCACATTAAATATTGACTTGTTTTGATGCTAACTTGGCCTCAATATTTTTGTTCTGTTTGGAAAACTCTCTACAGAAATGCCACTAAGGAGCAGTGATCAAGATTTCCTGGCTCCAAAACATCTACCGTTGGGAGGAAAAATAAGAAAAAAACTCTAAAAAATCAAATCTCTTACTCTTCTAAGGAAATAATCTTGTGGATTTGGCCTAAGTGGTTGTTGCATTAAGCTGTAGTATTTTTAGAACACACAAGAGATTAAACAGTTGTGAGTTTTAAAGTACACGTACTTTCAACAGGTTTTTTTCCTGATTTTTTTTTTTAGGTGAATGAGTAGAAACTTTCATATCTGGTATTTGGACAGATGTTGTGCAAAAACATGAAGATATGAGACATGCCGTATGCTGTCCAGCTCCCTGAACTCTTACTCTTGCATAAAGATGAACATAAGCAGTAAACTACCAGGTCACTATTAATGGCTTGATCTACGTTTTTGAATGCAATTGTTCAGCCAAACAACTGCTACACTTAACTCATACTTAACTGCACTGGCCAAAATAGGAGTAATTCTCACAAATTAGATAAAATATAGAACTGCCTGAAATAATTTTGCTAATACATACTTAAGCTTTTACTTTGCCCAGACGTACCCCTGTTTTCTCCCCTTATGTTTACAAAGCTGTTGAAGTCCTCACTGAAAAAATATGGTAAGATCACCCTGCCTTCAATTGGAATAATCCTTTTTGGACAAAACAGCCTCTTGGGAAATTTCAGGCTTTAAACTGAAATCTTTCAGATAGTGATATTCTAGTAACTATCCTGAGAGAAGTGCTATGACTTGGCCTGTTTCAATAGAAAATATTCAACATTGGAAATAAACACTGCTCATCTAGAAAAGTCTAACATGCACAACATCACCAAGACAGTCTTTATTTCTGAAGCAAAAATAAAACCCAAATCAATAACCTTAACTCCCAATCATATATTCTTTATACCAGACTTCATTCCCGTCTTAATCAAATCCATCTTTCATGTGATCAAAACATCCAGAGATTTCCTTCCTGTCACAAAAGGACTTACTGCACTGACCAGATACTTTATTTCCTACTTTTCATGCCAATGACCAAGGTGCACTGCATCAGACAAAATCCCTATCGCACACATACCAAAAAAAAGATTCATTCAGTACCTTTTACATGCATACATTATGCCATTTATTGCTTTTTGCTGTTACTCTATTTAGTTTTTCTTACCTGACAACTTTAGTCCCATTTCGAAATACTTGGATATCTACTGCGTAATTGCCATCAGCATGGGCTATCAAGTTGATTTCTGAAAATTCTGCCTATGAAAAGAAGACTCACATTAGTCAGTCTGGTTTATTTTACCTTTATTTTCCTAAATCCTTTCTTTTAAGCATTAGTATCTGAATGGCTGACAATACACATTTGGAATATAACGAGTACCAAAAGGATATTAATCCAACAGCATTTGCCACGTATGACACATCACATTTGAATAAATTCTAACACAAAGAAAGCAAAAAGTAAAAATCTCAATGTAAGAGGACTGTGGGGCAGTGGCAAGTGTATTTATTCATTCATGTCTGTGTAGAAGTGTAGAAATTATATTTTTGCTTTGCATGGTGTTATCAAATACAGACTGAACAAACATGTACGTAAAGTGTTGCGTAGTACAAAACCAACATTAAAATAACTGTGATAAACAGAGTATCTTCTTATAGCATTTAGTGTCTCTTTATATACGTTACCCCTTTCTACTTCCTTTATATGCGTTTACTCTTCTTTTTAAAAGATCTGGTGCTAATGAACAATTGACTTGCGGAATTCACAAAGAAAGAACTTTTTAAAAGTATCGTCTCACACTGGAAACTTGGAATTTAAAAGGAATCACTTCCATATTCTAAATCTACAGTTATTTGAAAGGAAAGAACAGGATGTTTTTCATTTATCCACAGTCTTTCATCAGCTTAGACTCTCAAGGCACTTTACAATAACATCACACAGCAGAATAATTGAAATGCAGCCAACTGTCTTCTAGTGAACAAATGAAAGTGTCTTTGCTATCCCAGACACTAATACAGAATAGAGAGTGTCGGAATCCTCATTAGTCTCCCCTTGAAAAATGGTATCACTGAAAGTCTTCCTAAGTCAAATCTGTGTAAGCTTTCAGAATTTAGTGGTCAGTTAAGGCAAGTGTTCACTACTCTAACCACTGTTCCAATGCAACAGTTAAAGTATGTGCTTGATTTTCAAGCATAGAGGTCTCTTCATTAAATCCCATACACTTACATACTTTCTTGGATCAGTGTTACAATATTCTAAACACAAGGGGCAGTTTTAAGCTTATTGTAAAAACACCACAAATGGTGAGAGACTGAAATATTTGTGTAAGTGCTGACAATGTTAAAGCATCATTTAAAATCTATTTAATCTGAGATTGACAACTGATCTCTTCAATTAATAAATCATGTTAAACAATTACAATGATTCACAATATAGATTTTGTAGTTTAAAAGCTTAGGAGATGATAGGAAATATTGTATGTTAAGACAGGTTGCTATAAGTAGTGTAAAAATAAAATAATGCTCTGTAGTATCAGCAAAAGAACACTAAAGTGATTGTTAATAACTATTTGTATACGATTGTCACAGTGTGATGTGTTACAAAATGATTAGAAGGGTTCAGAAACTTATTTCATCTCTTACTGATTAAAGGTGGTTCTGGTCCTACAAGAGACCATATGAAGGAAATTCTAGGCTTCACAGAGCTTTTGTTAATATTAAAGAGACAGCGTGTGTGATGTCAACTGCATGGTCTGATCTAGGTGTGAATGGTATTCTGGGACAAAATAGCTTGTCTTCTTTTTCCCATGTCTCTCTCAATACCCTTGAAGACCCCTGGCCAAACTTCCCATGTTTCCAAGCCAAGAACATCACCAGATATTCAATGGTGTAAAGAACAGAGCAAAGCTAGATGCTGTACTATTACAGTGAATTTAGATAAACTGAATCCACGTAGTCAGTGATAAATTTCCCTCACTTTTTGAAATTCCAATGACAAAACAATTCAGTTTAAGTACTGAAGCTTCTTACAGTAGCATCTGTTTGTAGAATTCAAGATTGAAAAGCAGTGACAAGACTTATTTACTTCCCTAGTTTCAGATATCTAGCTCAAATAACATAGCCATAATTCTAATGCACCCTGGATTGTATCTCCATATTTATTCAGTGCTTTTTTTAAAAACCCCACATACTAGCACTGCAATCAGAGCGTATGTATACTCTTAAGTGGAGGAATCAGTGATACAACAATGCAACATGTAATTCATGGAGTGTTTGGGAAATTCAGACTCTCAGCAACAACTTTTGAATATGACATGTTTTTAACATTGTGCAAATTATGGTCAGAATCCTCTAAAAAGAGTCCATGTTGGGCAACAAAAAGCACCATCATGGTTTAACTACAGCTGGCA